TTATATGATCTACTTTAGCAGAAAGCGGCAACAGTAAATCTTGCAAGGGTGCTGTTCTTTATGATGTTAGTAATGTTCGACGTTTCCAGGAACTGATGAAGTCAGTAGAGCGGGTGTTAACCTCAGCTATCAAAAAATGGCTTGGAGTATCAGGTGACTGTTGCCCTAAAAGCCTATAATTGCCATATTTTAGATTCCAACATATGCCATCCCTGCTACTGTCTGGGGAAAAAGCATAGCTGAGTGCATGTTGCTAAAACACATAAAAGAGGTTTTTAAATGATTGTTTTAGATGCTGCTATTTCTTTTAAATGTAAGCATTAGTAGCTGATGTTATTTAGGGCTTATTTTATGTGCTAATTTTCAGTGCCATTAAGATAGGTTATTATGATTCAAAATATATCAAGTTATAAATCCTTCAAGAACAGAGATATCTTCTTTATACTCATATTCCCAGAAGACTTAACCCAGTACTGGTGTAATGGTTGTTCTTAATAAATATTATGTTTCTGAAACGAAAGACTCACATGATTTTGTGATATTTAACAGCTTACGTTACTCACTGCAATCTACACAACTAGTTGTGTCAAACCAAATACAAAATAAATTTGACCTGATACAGTTTTATCTATTCCTTCAATCATTTGACATATATGCACTGATGCCTAATTTGTGCCTACACTGTGTATACATGATGAAATGTGTGTACAGTGGTGAAACACATACAAGGTCTCTGCCCTCAGAGAATCTGTACATTTGTGGCAGGAGACAATTACACATATGTATATGCACAATAAATTTGTAAACAAAAAAAATGCCATAAAAGGTATAAAAGAGAGTGATATAATGAAGCAACTACCCCAGATAAAACAGTCAGGGAGAGTCTCCTCAAACAAGAGGCATTCAAGCTAAGAATTAAATGAAAAAATAAGTCCACATATAACAAATTCTGGGGCTTCCCTGGTGGTGCAGTGGTTGAGAATCTGACTGCTAATGCAGGGAACACAGGTTCGAGCCCTGGTCTGGGAGGATCCCACATGCCGTGGAGCAGTTAGGCCCGTGAGCCACAACTACTGAGCCTGCGCGTCTGGAGCCTGTGCTCTGCAACAAGAGAGACCGCGATAGTGAGAGGCCCGCGCACCGCGATGAAGAGTGGCCCCCGCTTGCCACAACTAGAGAAAGCCCTCGCTCAGAAACGAAGATGCAACACAGCAAAAATAAATAAATAAATTAAGAGTTAAGACTTCAAGATATTCATACAAAAAAACCCCAACAAATTCTGGAGAGGGCGTGGAGAAAAAGGAACCCTCCTACACTGTTGGTGGGAATGTAAATTGGTGCAGACACTGTGGAAACAGTATGGAGGTTTCTTAAAAAACTAAAAGTAGAGTTACCATATGATCCAGCAGTCCCATTCCTGGGTATATATCTGGAAAAATGAAAACTCTAATTCAAAAAGATACATGCACCCCAATGTTCAGAACAGCACTATTTGCAATAGCCAAGACATGGAAGCAACCCAAGTGCCCATCAACAAATGATTGGCTTAAGAAGATGTGGTGTGTGTATACACACACACACACACACACACACACACACACACATGCACACAGAGTGGAATATTACTCAGCCATGAAAAGAAAGAAATGTTGCCATTTGCAGCAACATGAATAGACATAGAGAATATTATACTAAGTGAAATAAGTCAGAGAAAGACAAATACTATATGATAGCACTTATATGTGGAATCTAAAAAATAATACAAATGAGTCTATATACAAAACAGAAACAGACTCACAGACATAGAAAACAAACTTATGGTTACCAAAGAGAAAGTAAGGGAGGGAGGGACAAATAGGAGTATGGGATTAACAGATACAAACGACTATACATAAAATAGATAACAAGGATTTGCTGTATAGCACAGGGAACTATACCCAATATCTTGTAATAACCTTTAATGGAATATAATCTGCGAAGAAAAAGAAAACAAATCACTATGCTGTACACATGAAACTAACACAGTATTGTAAATCAACTATACCTCAAAAAAGAAAAAGACAACCATGCAAGGAAACAGGTGTTGAGCGTTCCAGACGGAGAGAACGGCAAAGGCAAAGGCCCTGAAACTGGGTGAGTTCACTGTCATGTTCAAGGCATGATCAGAAAGGCTAACAAATATAAGAGATAAGCCCAATAAGTGGGCAGGGACAATGTCACGTAACGCCCGGAGGAAGACCATGCAAAGAAGTTAGAAATTTATTTACATTCAGTGGGAAGGTGTTAGAAGGATATAACAAGAAAGTGACATGATCAGATTTATACATCTATTACACCAAGAAATATTCTGAACCAACAGTGCTCTCAACTACCAAAAACAACCTAAATGATGGTCAGATTTCTGTTCTTAGTAAGACCCATATACAAAGCTATTTTTAAAGGTGAGGAAATGAAAGTGAATTCAGAAAATATGTTACTACTAAAAATAACCCTAGTTGCTTGCCCAGGAATCCAGTTCACCGACATTTTCCTGGGCAGAGCAGGAAGCAGTTCATGGATGAAGAAAGTGCATCCCTGGGGAGGGCAGAGCTTTGCTCCCCAGGCACGTCACTCAGCCTGGCAGAGAGAAATCAGCAGGTGAGGTGACCATGACATCTGTCATTCTAACAGGGACATTTATGACAGTGACAGGGCACGATTGATAATTACATCAGAAAAATAGGTATAAAGTGGGACTTTCCCCAGCATCTGGGACCTAGGCTTGAGTCTCGACTTGTACCAAACAAGCTACGTGGCTGGAAGCAAGGTGTCACCCTTTCTGAGATTGCATTTCTTTATTGGACACGTGAACTGTGGTTGCATCTTCCCATTTACTGCACACCAACTACCAAAGGGTCTCGCTGGAGAGACAGAAGAAGAAACCTCATTTCATGTTCACAGACTAGTCCAAGAGCAAATAAACTGAATGGTAGTACAACAAGTGAAGCTACAGAAACACATGCCGGGGAAAAAGCTCTAGAGCTAGAGAGGAGAGAAGTGATGACTCCTATGAAGACATCAAAGAATGCTTCATGGGGTCCCAGTGAAACATGAGCTCAAGTTAGGAAAATGAACAAAAATTCACATGTGACTCAACGTGATCAAGGAGAAGAGCTCCTTGACTCAAAACTCTGTTCCATTCCCGTCAGAGGGGTCGGCCCATGCAAAGGCACAGAAGTGTGCGACACCATGGCAGGTCCAGGCAGTTATCAAATTGGATCAACTAAGTCATGTTTAAGGTCTTTTATGCACAAAAAAGCTAAGAGTCACCTATTTATTGATGTTAAGTACTGTTTTGAAAAATGAAATTTTTATCTTTAGCCCCAAAATGTAATATCGCATATGTCAATATTCTATATTTCTATCCAACAACAGCCATTTGATCTATGCCTTATTCACATAACATCTATTTACTCTGAGTTGTACACATACAGAAGTTCCTGGCCATGTGTAAAGGAAGTATATGAAGACCCAGGATAGATGCAAACCTCTCCCTGAGGTTGCAAATCATCGTTTTAACAATAAAAGAAACACGGATAGATGTGGGGCAGAGGGCTGAATATGCAGGAACATGAACATTTCCATTTTATAGATGAGACAAATGAGGTAGAGTTTAGTTAAGACCTTGCAACCTACTTAGTAATGGCAGAGCTGGAATTTGACTTCAGGGAGTCTGGCTCAAGGGTCTATGCCTCTAACAACTACACTGCGTGCCTCTCAACAGTAATGCTGACATTGCAATGGACAATTCATGCCATGTGCCTATTGCTCCCCAGTTCATCTTTGCTTCAGAGCAATCTTAGGGGAAAAGTTGTAAAAAAACACTGACTGGTTCTCAGGAGCAACCTTTAGAAAAAGTAAGATGCAGATATGCAGAGAGCAAAGTCAAATTTCCATCTCTGAATTCAGCATTCTGAACTTTGAGAACCCATGGTCAGAATGCTTGCCCTCTGGGTCTGTCCAATCAGCATTAAGAATTCAGCTGAGTCCACAGGACATGAAATAACTGGATTGGCCAAGGTTCTCATGGAAACGATTACATTTTTTTTTTTTTTTCTTTTTCTTGCGGTACGCCGGCCTCTCACTGCTGTGGCCTCTTCCACTGCGGAGCACAGGCTCCGAACGCGCAGGCTCAGCGGCCATGGCTCACGGGCCCAGCTGCTCCGCGGCATGTGGGATCTTCCCGGACCGGGGCACGAACCCGTGTTCCCTGCATTGGCAGGCGGACTCTCAACTACTGCACCACCAGGGAAGCCCCGGAAACGATTACATTTTTGATCAATTGTTTGGATTTTGTGAAAGGTATAAGGTCTTGAAGGGGAAGAACTCCATGTGTTAACTTCCTCTGTTCAGCAGTTAACAGAACTGCAAGCAGAAAAGTGATTAAAACAGACCTTGCAAAGATGATAGCAGTGGTAATAGCAACAATAATAAGGTTAATTTGACTCTATCATATTTGTGCATCAATCCAAAGCTTATAATCTTTAAATATTATGGTATCCCATTTAAATCTAATAATATATGTGCATTATTATCCACATTTTTATGTATTCACAGGAGAAGGCTCAGAGAGGTACAGTGACTTTTGTAGTACAAGAGCCGAGATTTAAACTAAACTTTCTAAGTCCCTCAATATTTCCTCTTCTCCCACAGCTGTATCTTAAACTGTGAAAAATTCCAGCAAGTCATCGTGGTTTCCTTCAGAAAGAACTAAAAGCCACAGACTACAGACACAGGCTTTGTCCTCTGACTGCCCCAGTATCTGTATAGTAGTTCTGAAACCCTGCACTGCCTAATCCCTGCCCTGATCCCTGAATTGCAGAGGGAGGAAATTTGAAAACTGATGAGTTTAACCAGTGAGGGGTCATATCTTCACACTGGGAGCTGAACAGACTACCAAAGCAGGCTGCCTCTCCTGCAAAGGTCCAGATGGATGGAGGGCATGGCTGAAAGCTGCTTACCAATACAGGACTCCCCGGACAGTGAATACGTCCCATCGTCATGGAAACCGCTTCTGCACTCACAGTGGTACCACCCTGGCAGGTTAACGCAGCGGGAATGGTTGTGGCACTCAATGATCCCCTCTGTACATTCATCAATATCTGCCTCAGAGAAAAACACAAGCCCACCAGGACATTAATTTCTTTTGACACTAGCCTTTCAATAAACACCTAAAACATGCTCATGTCAACATATCAATTAAAACTGGTTAGTCACCTAAAATAAAGTTACAGGAAAAACTGTATCCCATATTTTTTGTCTAGAATCCAAACAAACAAACTGAAAGCTTCATTTTTTGGATGCTTTCTCATAAATTGAACAATGAATGAGAACTGATGGTCATGAAGACATTCCTAACGGCACATGCTGTGTTAGTTTCTGAATCACCAGAAACTAAATTGAGGATGTTTGGCACAGTTTTTTTATTCAGAGTATATGACTCTTCTCTGCTTCAATGATTTCAGTATAGTAATCCCAGATATTATTTGGTATTCTTTGAAAATACCTGTGAACAAGTAAGTTCAGGAAACTCTAGGTTAAATAGTGTTACACTAATGTTTTATAGATTTCAGTCTCAGAGACTTAGCATATTTATATGCCCTGCAAAACTTAGCAGAATCATAATATGCACTGTTTCCCAAATTTATTTGGCTGAGAAATGCTTTTTCTTTGGATAATATCTTGTGAAACTAAGTTTTGGGGGAGCACAGTTTGAGAACCACTGTTCTAATTCTTTCTAAAACCGCTGATTCACTTAAGGACTTAATTTGTGATAGTCAGAGCTCCTCATTCTTCAATCGTGCCTGATGAAAAGAAGTTTTCTGGGCTCTATTTGCTCTAGAATCTGGCTTCTTAGAATCAGCAAATGCCTGGATTCTCTAGCCCAAAGGCTTGCCTCTGAGCTGAAGGAAAATGACACCACTGCAGAAAGATGAGCTGTCAGTCGTCATGCCAGGCTCAGCTCATCTTACAGAAACTCTCCAGGTAATTATTTCTTGGAATACAGCCATTGCTGGCTGGGAATCCCCCCCTAGTCCTCCTAGAAACACCTGAACTACAGCAGTCTTATACAAACAGAAATTTAATTAATACTAAGATATAACACATAATGGATACAACGCACTTCAGAGTCCTGTTCAGCAGTGCCCTGCTGTAGGCATCAGCTACCAGTGTATCTATTATACTGAAAAGTCTTGAGTTGTGCACAAGGCTGTGAACGTAGTTTGAAACCTGCCAGTCTCATCTCATAGCATCCCAGCCAAGTAAAGAGAGGAAAGGTGCCGCTCTTTATTCTGGACAACTCCATCCTGGCCTTTTTCTGCCAACTGCCATCTTCTTCCTTTATGGCTGTGTCATTAAGTTCATGCAGTCCTTTGACATACAGCATCCCTCAGCTTTCTAAATGCAATCAGGCCACAGGACCTAGTGCTTCTCTAGCACCTTCAGCTATAGCAGTCAGATTGTGTGTGCATTTATTATAAATCTCCAAACAATAAAATTTCAACAACTATTTTCATTTCTGAAATTTTACAGGTGTGTGGTTCAGTGGGACACACCTTGAATCACTAAAATGTTCATAAATTGAAACAGAGAAGTGACTTGAGGCCATGTCTCACGGAGGGGAAGGACCAGGCCCTAAGTTATGAAGTCAGTTTGGTTATTTCTAAATATAGGTCACCAAGAGGAACAGACATAACTAGAAGACTGATTTTCAGAGATAACTTCTCTATGAGAGGCTGAAAGATAACTCTCTGTAACAAAGCAGCAACAAATTTTGCCTCAGACATTTATTTCCAAAGCTTCCAGAAAGTCTGTCATGATCCCCACAGACCCTGTGATTTCTAGACTAATGACAATATTTAGGTGACAACCATCTAGCCACAGTTAGTGTGTCAGGAAACTAGGACATACAAAAGCAAAACTTCTCAAATAACCAAAGAAATCATATGTCCTGGCTGGTCTCATTGTCACCTGCTGCCTCTTTCACTCTCAAAACCAACTCAGTTTGGAGGATAAATTATCTGAACATCTTACAAATAATTCCTCCTGCTCTCAATTCTACAGGAAATTTCTAGGAGGAGTGGGAATACTGAATGATGTGCAAATATTTTTTTTTCAATTCACAGATATTTTTATTCCCAAAATGAAATAAGAGAAACTAGTAAAAGCTTCCACGATCCAGCAGGATATAAGTTATCTGTGTAGCATGGGAGACTCTTATAGGGAGTGAATACAACCAGTCAAATTATACATCTGCAATTACCCCAGAGACACTGGGGTATTCCTGGCTTATACTGAAAATTAGAAAAGTAGTGGAGGTGTTCCTTGCCTGGGAGCTTCACTGCACACAGCAGATTCTGGGGCTTCAATGGGAATAACCAGGGCTCATCACACACTAGCACCTGCAAACAAGGCTGCACATTTCTATTTCGTGGGCCAGGTCTATAACTGAAGCCAACAGTTTCATTTTATATGAAACCAGGCTGTACTTGAGAGGTGCTTATATTTTCGTCGTGTTCGTAAAATTGGCTATTTCTTCTGTATAGTCGCAGTAGTATTAAAAGCAACAACCACACACCCAAATACAGAAAACACTTGGAGGCTTTTCAGTGATACTTTGGGGACTTTAAAAACTGTTAAATGGCTTGTGGCTGCCTTTGTCCTAAGGGATTTGTTTCTTCCAGTCAGCACTTGCTACGGGCAAACAAACAAGACAGATGCTCTGGGAACGGGGTCTCTGTGAGTTCACCATGGAATCCGGCCCCCTGTCTCAAGGAATTCTGATAAATCACAGTGAGCCTGGGTACATCACACGGTGTCAGACATTGCAAAGGAAACAGACAAATAAAAAAAATCATTTTTCCTTCCTATAACAAATCCTAGGATTTTGTTTAAATCTCAGTTTACTCCAGCACAGACCTGAAAATGTAGCAGAGGAAACAAGAGATGTTGGAGGATTCTTGAGAGTGGAACCTATAGTATTCACTTTTGTATCCAAGTGTCTGCTACATAATGAATCACATGATAGCCCAGGTCAAATAGCTAACATGTGGTGAAACCAGGTTCAGAATGAGCTAGAACCCGTACTTGTCACTCTTCTATCACATCATGTCATTGATGAATGGAGAAAGGAAGATTTACACCAAGATAATGTATTTATTCAATTCTCTAAATATTGGCTGAGCTGAAAATACATGTCAAGGATGATATTTGTATTGTGGCACTTGCAAAACAGATGCAAAAGTAAAGAAGATGTGATTCCTGAAACCCAGGAGCTCTCAAACAAGAGGAAGAGGTATATAACACACACTCATCCTTCAAACCCTAACTGATATCACCTTCTCCAACTCCTCCAGACAGACAGGTCCTCCCTCCCTAATACCTCACTATGTACACACACATCTATTTAAGCACAGCAGTATTTCTCTTTTGTGCCCATCCCTCAAATGCAGACTTTCCAAGAATAGAGGCAACATCTTAGGTTTACATTTCTTGGAATAATAAGTGAATGTCAAGCAATATGAAAGTACCCAGTACAAGTCTGTGGGAATGAATGAATGAAAAAATAAATGACAATGGAGAGAACATAAGGAACAATGAAAAAGTGCTATAATAGAGATTCAAAGTACCACAAGAGATCCTGCTATTTGCAAATCACAAAGATACAATGTTAATTTGAAAAATTAAATATTATGGGGTTAGTTTAACCTTTATATCTTATTTACCTAAAAGACACTTTATAGTGTCTAAAAGACACTATATAGTTTTTAAGACTCTGCTTCTGAGTCTAATCTTTAGAGATTTTAAGGCAACAAAAGACACACAGTTAAAGTTGCCTTCAGTCAAGAATCCTACTTGTACTTTGAGTTTTTTATTCAGCATGAAAAACAGAGGACAACCCAAGGTTTTTCCATAGGATGTGTCCTAAACAACACATTTAACCCTATTTGGAATGTACAGTGAATTTGCTATCAAAAGTCATTGGCAAACACATCCTTGGATTCTTGCAAAATTCTAGTTTCTTGACTTGGATGAATCTATTCCTTCATCTGATCTCCTCTCTCTCAGATTTGCTATTTGAAAATTTACAAAGTAAAGTTGTTCTCAAAATTTATTTCCAAGGAAATACTTTGGTATTTCATATTAATTGGTTAAAGTTCACAGTGAAATAGTTGATTATATGTTTTCTAGGAATTTGTAGGTTGAGCCATGAGAAAAACTTTTGATGTTTTCATTCATTCAACAAAAGTTTATTGAGCATACTTGGAATATGAAGCTATATTCAACCCTATGATAAAGAGATGAAAAAGATAAGGTCCCTGTACTCCAGACACTTAGAGTCTGTCAGTGCAACTGGAATGTAAACATATAACCATGGTTGAGAACACGGGCTTTGCACACAAATATGACTTCAAATTCCTGCCCAACAACAAACTAATATATTGTTTAGATTTTTCCAAGTTTTTGCTTTCTGATCTGTAGATCAGGAATAACAAAATCAAACTTCATAGATGTGATGAACAAAAAACACCCTTAAGCAAAATCTACTGTTTCCCCTATTGTATAGGATATTACCTTTGGACTCTGTATTACTGCTTAAAAATAGAAGACAGAAAAAAATTAATATTACCTTGTAACGAGGTCACTGGTTAGGACTGAGAGACGATTTCTGGATCTTTAAAAATGTTCATTTGCATTTTTTAAAATTTATATTTTTAAATTATTTTTTTAGCATCTTTATTGGAGTATAATGGCTTTACAATGGTGTGTTAGTTGCTGCTTTATAACAAAGTGTATCAGCTATACGTATACATACATCCCCATATCTCCTCCCTCTTGCGTCTCCCTCCCACCCTCCCTATCCCACCCCTCTAGGTGGTGACAAAGCACCGAGCTGATCTCCCTGTGCTATGTGGCTGCTTCCCACTAGCTATCTATTTAACATCTGATAGTGTATATATGCCCATGCTACTCTCTCACTTTGTCCCAGCTTACCCTTCCCCCTCCCTGTGCCCTCAAGTCCATTCTCTACGTCTGCATCTTTATTCCTGTCTTGCCCTTAGGTTCTTTAGAACCATTTTTTTGTTTTTTTTAGAGTCCA